TAATTATTTTTTTATTTTAATTAACATTTACAGAGATTTTGGATTTCCATTTATACACTGTTGCACACTTTTCTCCCTACTCACCTCTCTCCCCAGTTCACTTTTCTCTTTGAAAAGAAAAAAAATCTTTCATTTTTATTCAATCCTCCCTGCGCCAACTCCACCTTACTATGCAGCTCTTATTCTGGACTCCTTTCGTGAAAATAATACCTAATCATATATTCCTTTTAAACAGTTCTCTCCCGCATCTGTTTCAATGCCATATACATATTTATTCCCTTTTCTTAAGGTTTCCCCCACCCCAATGTCAGTCCTATTTTATAGTAGTAGCACTATGCACTATTTGTCCTTTTGTTACTTAGATATTTCACTCAGCATAATGTGCTCCAGAGTTATTATTTTGTTCCATTTTGTTAATATTTCATGAGTTCCTTGTTTTTCAATGCAGCATAGTTTTCCATTGTGTAATTATACCACAATTCTTCTGTCCATTCATTTGTTGATGGGCACTTGGGTTGTTTCCAACTCTTTGCTATTGTGAAAAAAAGCCACAATAAACATGAGTGCGCATATATCTGTTTGGGTGGCAGTTATGGTTTCTTTAGGGTATATTTTCAGTAGTAGAATTGCTGGATCAAATGGTATTTCTATTTCCAACTTTCTGAGATAGTGCCATATTGTCTTCCATAGTTGTTGCATCATTTTACACTCCCACCAACAGTGGATAAAGGTTCCAGGTTCTCCACAGCATTTGTTGTTTTCTGCTCTGTTGAATTTTGCTATTCTTACTGGGGTGAGATGATATCACATAGTTGTTTTGATTTACATCTGTCTTAGAGCCAAGCAATTTGAACACTTCCTCATGTGTTTGTTCGCCATCTGAATGCTTGAGGACTGTTAATGATGTAGATGAGTGCTTCTACAGTTCTACAGTTCTACAGTTCTTCCAAAATTTTCTCTGATGAAGTTTATAGTCCTTGGCCCTTCATCCTCTTTGAGTTGGGCTTTGTGTATGGTGTGAGGTATGGATCTCGCTTGAGTTTTCAAAAGATAGTTTTCCAATTGTACCAACACAATTTGTTAAAAAAGCTGTCCAGGAAGAGTGCAAATCGTCATTGCAAAGACAGAAGAGGAAGAAAAGACCAAAATGAATGTCAGAACATACTCTGAAAATTGCACTGGAGCGCAGAGAAGCTAAAGCACAATGAAGAATTCAAGATACTAAAGAGTTGAATAGAAGATTTCAAAAGGCAGCACGGGATGACAAAGCAAAATATTACAATGAAATGTGCAAGGAGTTGGAGT